AAGCACTGTCTGACGCGTCTGCCTCCGCGACCCGAAAGGAGAAGCGGCGATGGAAGATGAAGATGAAGTAGCAATTTTAACGCCAAAGTCAGACCGCAGCTTAGTGTGAATCGTAATGAAATGTAATGAACGGCCGATGGACCGGCTTCGAAACCACGGAAGGAATGACAGAGGTGACCGACTGTCTGGGTTCGCTGAAAAAAGCAAGTGATCTTATTATGAACACCACTGATCAGAAAAACTAAGCAAAAAACGTACATCGACAGGCTCAAACAATGTCAAAATTAGGTCGATTTCATCCTCAGTAAACTGAAAAACAGTGCAACACGTCTGAGAGCTGAGCAGATTTAGGAAGGAAGCGATAAGAGATTCGTCAAATGCAAACTCCTGGACTCAGCTTTGGAATGAAGTAAACTGCTGAGGACGAGACACGAGATATTCGACGTGGAAACACTAAATAAGAATCCCCTGAAGAAACTCAAATTAAATAACCAATTCGACGTTCGGATTAAAGAAAGACGAGAAGCAGCTGAAATTAACATAACAATCAGGATATAATGAAGACAGCTACGGAAACGGCAGAAAACATCTCCAAAACAACGAATGTCATTCGCAAGCAAAAGAACAAAAGAACGCATATAAAGCGAAGAGAAATGAAGAAAGCAACGGATCAGAAAGCAAAAATCGAATTCGGAGAACTTCGCAAAACCTTAAGAAAACGTCGACATTCAACTGTAGATTGATAAAGGAAACCGTGAAAAATAACTGAAGCATGTATAGCCTCAGTCCAAATCCGTTCTGTAGTTGATCCCTTGATGAGCCAGGGATTCGAGGAAAGATACATAAATGTGCCCCTGTGAAGCTTCACGAAAGCACAAGCACGTTCAAAATCGATAAGAATGTCTGACAGAGAGATGTAAAATCGTGAATGTTAATCACAGCAACCCCAAAAAAGCTTGTTTCAAGGCAGCAAGTTGGCAAAACCAATGACTGGACATAAAAGGGCATTACTTAAGCCAAATGAAGTCTGCGGACGATATTCTCATTCTCTTAGAATAACGCCACGAGAACTCGAAAGAAAAATCGAAGAGCTGAACGAAAATAACATCAAAATGGGAATTGAAGATGAACTTGGAGAAGATTCAAGCCATGTTTAACAAATGCGTGACCGCGCGACCTGCTAAAATCAACGGACTAAGGCCTGACGAAATACGAAACAATGTCTCTCTGGGACAACTGAGATCTGCTACGGAGAACCAATTATGTGAACTTAACACAAGAATAAAAATAGCATGAGCGCTATTGGAAAACTGAAAATGTTTCCATCCTGGAAATAGTCCTTCTTACTTAAACAGAAGGTTTTCAATCAGTGTGTGCTCCCAACGCTGACCTCTGAATGCTGAAACTTTTTCCCTAAGTCTGAAATCTATTCACAAACTGCAAAGTATGCAACACTGCATGGAAAGATACATGTTGGGAGTAACTACAAAATATAGGAAGACGAATCAGTAGATAAGGGCAATAAATATGAGTCACAATGGCATTTCCCGAGTGAAAAACTTCACTGGCAATGGGCTGGGCATGATGCAGATAAAAAACTGACCGTCGCTGGACCAGAGAGACAGTAGATTCGGTTAAAATACAGAGCAAGGGCCCGTAGGAAGACTCCAGATTGACGGCAAGATGAGCTAAAGAAATATGCTGGATTAGAAAAATTTTAATCGCAGAAAGTGGACGTTCTTGACAGTCTTGGGGAGGTCTTGATCTAACATTGCATCGATAAGGGCTGATGGTGATGACTGCGTTATTAGGAACTTTGGCAGGACGATTCTAAGATGTTTTACATGACGTTTAAAAAGAGAATGTAGTTCAATCCCTTCAGAAAAACTTCAGAACGATCAAACTTCATAAGCCAAAAAAACCGCTCTGACATGTCACTCTTATGGTTGTAATAATTACGTGGAACATCAGCAAGAACCAAGACAAGGTCCTGCGGATGGTGGTCAATAAATTCAAGTACAAACTAAGCATTGGTACTGAAATTATAAAAGCAACTCAAAGTAAGCGCTTAACTCATTCAGAAAATCTACGCGTGGTGGTTTTAGATGCCACCGTCCAATATGACGTCGACGATAACGCACAATTATTCTCCTAATCGAACTACAAAATCAAAGGAATGAACCGAATTAAGATTGTCAAATAGCAAGTTAGAATAAGATATCGTTTCTTTAACTGACACTGTAATGAAGAATGTTAATTTTAATTTGGACAGTACTGACAAGCGTATGGAATATGATGGGCTTATCTTCACACGTCATATAGTTTGGCCTACATTCATGTTAATCAGAACTCCAAATGGCAGGAAATGGTCAGCATCGCTTACAAAAACGCTCAATCAGTATGGGATTTACTAACGAAAACTGGTAGCAACGGATAATATTTCAATCTACATTCACGTATGTAAAAGCATAACCTAATCGATCTGTCTCTCGTCGGAAAGAAAGGCATAAGTAGCCACAAAAACAGTATTTCCTGTTTAGCGGCAGAATATTACGTTTCCAAATATCACCATGCATTTGTCCGCCTGGCGAAAAGCGCCTATGACTTACCGCAAGCTACTGTTCCAAGTGTTTTGATAATACCAGATTAAGGTAAATTCATCTCTTAGCCAAGAAATTAACTAAAAATCGCATTATTACCAAAAAATTTACCACAAACATAGTCTTGTCCTCTATAACTTAAAACAACTGCTCAATAGCTTATCTCATGAATGGTCAAATCGTGTACTCAAAACAGCGTAAATTGTTATAAATGGTAAAACTCTCAAGTGCATAAGAGTGTAGTGATTTCTTCAGCATGACGATGATAAAGGGCATGTACGTTAGGAATGGGCAGCTCAAGCTGAATGACAGAACATTCGAGATCTTGCGTAACTTCGCATTTCAGTAAACCGTAGCCAAAATATTGCATATTAATGTTGCACCATTTATTGGTAGCAAATCGGGTTCAGCAGTTTCTACAGGTTTAATGCTGCTGATACTGATAATTTTTTATACCCTTTCGGTCAGAAGTTCCATGCGAAACTCGATGTGCTCCGGCAGCTCTACCACTTGCTGCCGTATCCAGTGAAGCACCTTCTCGCCAAGCATCGTTTCCGAAATGATCGCTTCGGTGTCTAGCGGCGAACGAGAGCGTTGCAATACTTCAATCTAAAAAATGCTTAGCAAGTGCAAGCTGAAATCGACAGCAAAACAAAATTAGAAGGTACGAAATCGCTAAACAAACTTAGGTGCGACTCAGAAATGTAGACCTTAACAAGTTATGTACTGAGGTTCATGCCGATTAAGTGTCATAGAATAATGAGTGTGTTTAACCCAGGAGTACACCAAGCATGCCAGCATGTCCCTATCGCAGTACAGAAGAGGCAAGATGAATAGATGCAGGTTGTACGTGAAATAACCTTCCCGCAAGACGCTCAATATTCTGTACAATAAACTTATAGCCTCATAAATAGCCAGTTCCCTCTCTAACAACTGCTAGAACCCAGAATATTGTCCAAACCGTTAGTTTACTAAAATCTTACTAATTAGCTTGATGTCGCGATCCACTGAAATGAAAGTTTTTAACTGATCGCATAATTTGTTTGACGCTGAATAGGCATGACGTTCAAAACACTCGCGTCAACCTCACCACCGAAATCTGTTTCCGTTACCGCAGATTCAATAATATCAGCGGACCTTGTGAAGTCAAAAATTCGTCAAGTGTCTATCCATGTAAAAAGGCTTTGCGGGATACATCAAAATCAACTGCATCCGTAATAAGATGAAACCCACCTTAAGTTAAAGGTTCCATATTCTACGAGGAACAGAAACAGGTTAAGCCCATCGACGGGAACATTATGGCAATACCACGCAATTAAAACCTTATTGGACACAATTTCCATTGACTTTACTATCAGAATTATCAGTAAGCTTCTACTAAAATGCAATTCACTGAAAAATATTGGGACCGGGCTTGCTTAGTCGGCAGAGCGCCGAACTTAGAACCAAGAGGTCCTGAGTCTGAGCCCAACCAGATCACTCGCCTTTTTTCCATCTGAGGTTGATAAATGTGTACCACTCCGTGGGATGCAATCACGAAACTCACAGTATGGTTTACATGGGACTGTAAATTCTGCCTATACAACAAACTAGCACACCTGGCAAATGGGATAGAAATGGATAGCAGTGCCCTACCATCAACTTCGTGAAAAGATAAGCGACAGAAATGGCCCCATCAGAAAAGTTATGAAGACCGGCATTATAGTGATTACAAACTTTCCTTTCCTTTTCCTTTAATCAGCCTTCAGCCCGTTACGCGCATTAGGGGGTTGCCGGTTATTGACACCATGTGGGTGTACAACAATGTGCAATGCAATAAAAGTTATTAACACTATTATCGTAACGCCTGACCTCTATGTAAGGAAGAGATGTAAATTCTTTGCTTTCTTCAGATATGACTTTAAAGTTCTTTTGAATGAAGTCATCCATCGCGTTCGCCAGCAAGTATCCACTAGCGTAATTTGCTGATTTTCTAACGCCTAAAAACGAAACTACAGCAAGAATAATCATCATGGTCACAATCGACCAGCAACAAAGAACACCTTTCACATGCTTTTCATCGAAGGTCTTTCAAAAATTTATTCCGCATACAAGTTTTATGCAACATATTTGAGATGTTTCGGAACTTTCTTGATTTATCGCTGGGTATATTTAAGTTCCAGACGTATCAGAAAGAGAGGAAAAAATATTCATTTGCAAATCTGTTATGCAATTTGTTTCATATTAAAATATGACTCGAGGCTGCCGCAAAAGAATAAAAAACATATCGGCCGACAGCTTCCGCTTCTAGGTGCTGACGGCCATGTGTTGATACCACCGCTCTTTAAGACTCATGGCATACACAACGCTCAAGC